ACGTAAAAGAATAAATGAACACAAATATGACATCAGGAATCATAACATTCAAAAACCTTTAGGAGAGCACTTCAACCTCTCTGGCCACTCAGTAAAAGATTTAAGGGTGGCAATTTTGCAACAGAAAAGCTTCAAAAACAGACTCCAAGGAGAAACTGCATAGCTTGAATTAATATGCAAAGTAGATACCATTAACTTGGGTTTGAATAGAGACTGGGAGTGGCTAGGTCATTACACATATTGAATCTATTTCCCTATGTTAAGTATCCTCACACTTTCTTGTCAACTGTCTAAACGGGCCATCATGATTGTCACTACAAAAGTTTTTTTCACCTGCTGATAATAGCTCATCTTAATTAATTAGCCTCTTACAGTTTGTATGGCAACTTCCACCTTCTCTGTATGTGTATATATATATCTTCTTACTATATGTTCCATTCTATGCATCCGATGAAGTGGGTTGTAGCCCACGAAAGCTTACGCTCTAATAAATTTGTTAGTCTCTAAGGTGCCACAAGTACTCCTGTTCTTTTTTCATTAAATAAAGGAAGATTTTATTTTCTTGTGACCACTGAAAATAATTAGAATCATGCAGTGGTTAGATTTACTACTTAGAGTCATGAAATATCAGAAACAACCTTGGACAGTAGCAGTGATAATAACTGTGCTGTCTTTATGGCCATAAACTATGCTTATAAAAGTATAATTATAGCAGTTCATAAATTAGGGCATTTAGGCCCTTAGATTTAATTTATAATGATGTGAATAAGTATGGCCTGCAAAGTGTTGCAAAATGCTAATTTTATTAGGGATGTCTATTCTGAATGGATTTTTAAGTTCTTGAACTATTTTGGTCATGAAACACCTACTGCTAGAGCCAATAAATTTCATTAAAAGGCAAACAGGAAGGATGTACTGAGTATCACCTAAACCAAACAAATACAGAAAACCTCAACTCCTTTGTCACTAATGAATAACCAAACCTCTCCTTCCAAACTCAAATTTGAGGAATTGATTTCAACATCTTTACGTCAATAAGTTTCTTATTACAATCTCAAACAATCTGGATCTGCAATTCGCAAAGCAATAAAGGGAAAATATATACCAGGTCTATTTTCCCCCTTGTTCTGACAGCAAAAAGGGGAATATGGTATGTGTAAAACTGATACCTTACAGTGTTGTATTAGCAACTAGTTTAGGAAATGGTTACTTGTCTTAGATATATATGCTCTGTATATACATACATAGGCAGGACTGGCTAACTCCAAAGAAACCCAGCATAACCTTGGGGGTGCATACAAACCAAGGGAGGTTTCTGAAAAAAAAGTTTATACATGGGAAATTCAAATGATATACCCTACACCAGGAGATGTAGCTATACCTGAATTAATGCACCTACAAACACACACACACACACACACACAAGAATATGCTCACATAACCGCTCCAGCTTTCTGCGTAAATGTGTAAACTGAGCCAACTGAATGGATATGAACAATGGCTTGCATTGAATTGTTTTAGGTTTCCTATCAAGTACTTGTTTTCCTCTTTCTAAAATGTTTCAGATTTCTAGAAGTGGATCTTTGATGTACTGTGGTAAACATTAAAGGGTTCTTTTTTCCATTCAATTTCCTCGTTTTTACTTTGAACAGTAATTCAACAATTAGTTTTTGTCCACATTGTATTTTTAACTGTATTCATTTCAAAGGGTGTACTGATTTTTTAGAAAGGAAAGTGCTGGATTCCATTCAACAGAAACATATTCTGTGTTCTTGTAGCAACTGTGCAATCTCCTGTTCCACGTACAGGAGAATACCATGGCTACTGCAGGTATCTGGGGTTGTTGAATGTTGATTTTTGTATTGGTGTCCACTGTACCTTCTGCATATGACAGGGTTATGTCCTGCTATTAGCAATTATGATTCAAAGAAAAATATATAAAGACAACAATTATTTGTGGTATTTTCCAGTCATGCATTTTACAGTTTTACAAGATAATGCATGAAGAAAACTTTTCCAAAGTAATTAGCATATAGGGCTTGGTTCTCCTCCTACCTATGCCATTTTTACCACAATGTATTTTCTTTGGCTTCAAAGTTACTTGAAATTTACATGGGCATAAGTAAGAGTATGAACAGTCAAGTAGCTGCTCATTAAAACTGTAGCTGCACAGTGCTGCTTTAATCACGTTTCACCTTGGGGACACCTGTTCTTGGCCTTTCTTGCTACCACTTTCCCTCTGGATCTAGATCCAGCCCAGCGCCAAGGAAGTCATGTCACTGGGATGAGCTGCACAAGAGCTCTAGCTCTGGCTGTGCCTCCTGTGCTTGGCCGTTGCTGCTCTAATTCTCCATCTGGCACCCAGGAAGTGACATTGTTGAGGAACTAGTGAGGATTGCTGCTACCAGACCCTGCTCACCTGATATAGAGCATGCTGCAAGGAAGAATTAAAAGCCCCAGTCATTGCCAAGAGCAACTGGCTGCTGCTGTCATCAGACTCTCCCTACCTGACATGGAAAACGATATTTCATCTATTTATAGAGAGATCCTTTGACATTGCTATGGCCAGGATCACTAGGTGGTTCTGTTACAACGTAGTTTTTCATGTTCTTTTGCTTATCATGCAAACAAGTTTTGACTCTTGGGATGACATACTGTGGGTCTGTCCACTCTTCAAGTGGGGAGTGTGATTACTAGCTGGAGGAGACATACTTGTGCTACACCTCAGTGAGCTAGCACATTAAAAATAGAAAGCAGCAGTGGCAACCGAAGCGGTGGGTGGGGCTAGCTACCCCGAGTGCACGGCCATCAGAGAATTTGGGTTGAATTTGGTGAATAGTTTCTGCTGAAAAGTCCTCCTGATTACAAACATTTCAGAAACATCTAAACAGTTTGTTTTGAAAATGTCAAAATAGTTCAAAACAAAATATCGATTTGATGTGACATTTTCAAAGTGAAAGGTCTATTTGAAACAGCATTTTGTTTTGAAAATGTCATTTCAAATGGACATTTCAGTTCAAAATGTCATTTTGAATCAACACTCAAAACATTTCATTTGACCCAAACCATTTTTTTTTGTTTTGGCCAGAAAAAATAAAACAACAATAACAAAAAATAAAATAAAAAAATCACTTTTGGTTCGAAATGAACCACATTTTTGTTCAGATTTTTTCAGTTGGCCATTGAAACAAAAATTCAGTTATTCACTCCCCTCTACAACTGATACCTCCCTGTTTATATCATACCCTTACAGGAAAAAGAAAATTAATTCCCCAAACACTTCAATTTCTACTGTTGCTAGAAGTATAAGGGGTACTTTTCCAATATCATAGAATAAAGATTGAACAATAAATGAATTCTGGAAATGGAAAGGCAGTTTACAGTTCTGGAAAACTATAATTTCAATTATCCCCAATTTTTCCGCAATAAATCATGACAGACGTTCAAAGGCACTTATCTTGCATTCAGATTTCACCTCTCTCAGTTTCCAGACCACAGTGTTATTTCCCACCAAAATTCAGTTAAAAACAAAGGTGAAAAGTTTATGGGCTGCTCAAAGGTAACTAGTGCTATCCAGTGCTTCAATTTTGAATTGTTCAACTTGGGACCTCTTAAAAGGGTCTGATTTCCAGAGATAAGTGCTCAGCACTTTTTGAAAACCAAACCCCTATAACAGGAGTGGCCAAACTTACTGACCCTCTGAGCCACATACAATAATCTTCAGAAGTTTGAGAGCCTCAAGACACGTACAACCTGCCCCGTGGGGTGGCACCTGCTGGGGCGCGGGACTTCTGCCCCAATGCATGCCTGCAGAGATAAAGCCCTTAGCCCCCCTCCTTGCAGGGCAGCAGTCCCTAGTTTCAACCCCGCTGCAGGGCAGAAGCCTTGAGCTCCCCCTCCCCAGTCTGGAAGGGGGATAATGGAGGGATGCATGGGGGGCTCCGTGAGCCGCACTTTAACTGTAAAAGAGCCGCATGCGGCTCATGAGCCACAGTTTGGCCACCCCTGCCCTATAAGGTGTCTTAGGCAGAGCACCCCAGAGCTGAGGCACCCCAAACCATCAGTCACTTTTGCAACCCTTGGCTATAACTGTATTTTCTTTGATTATGCTAATTAAAGCTAATAACATGTTGCATCATGTTAATGATATGAAAACCAGAATCTTTTTCCTGAAAGGGATTCAGCTGCTGAAATTCCTGCTCAGCCATTGCTTTCTGAATATTGATAAAAGAAAAGGAGTACTTGTGGCACCTTAGAGACTAACCAATTTATTCTCTAAGGTGCCACAAGTACTCCTTTTCTTTTTGCGAATACAGACTAACACGGCTGCTACTCTGAAACCTGAATATTGATAGAGATTTAGGGTACTTTATTGTTTTCTTTCCATACCATTCTTCTTTCTGTGCTGTTCTTTTTGATAACTGTTAGCTTAAAATTGCCATGTTATTTTCTGATCCATCTCTGGTGGGTTTATTTGGTTTTTTTCTTTTGTGGCCTTTTTTGAACAGGGACTGATAATATGTTTTTACACATATAATATAATATGTAAAGTATTATTGACTCCTGCCATTTGTCATTATTTCGAAGGCTTAATTAATAATGAATAAGGTTTAAACTTAAAGAAGAAACTCACATATTTTACTCTTTGAAAAAAAAAATTACATATGCTATTGTCAAAAAGCTTGCCTTGTGTGCTGTAATTCAGCTTTTGTTAGAAAGGCAGCTGCTTGGACGATCGTGTAATCTACCCATAATTACAGGGCAATACCTGCCTATTACCTATATCATTTGGGGTATCTCTAGTGCTGTGTTACCTCACTTCATAAGTGACTGCTAGTCAGCACACATTGAAACTAAAGCAAGAACTGAGATCGCATTTGCACCTAAAAGCACACATTATGTGCATGTCATTGCCTGCCACTCAGTCAGTCAATTGTGGTGCTTTTTTTTTACCCTGTTTTCATTCACTGATAACATTATGAATTTGCTTTCTTCTGCAGCAAGAATGCAGCTCGCCAGAAATCAAAGGATGTAGGAGCATAGGAGCACCCAGCAGAGCAACTGAGAGACTAGAAGAGATAGCTTGCTTTCCATGTAGCTTCCTGGAGCTAATCTCAGTACTCTGGAGCTGACGTAAATAGCTAATGCTTGCCGATAATTCTTAGAGAAGATGAACGGGCGTGAGACTTCCTTCTGACTGCCTCCCTCTCTCATCGTCAGTGTGTGCTCTGTAGTAAAAGGTCATGGGGATAATCCTGCACCTGCAGTCTAAGAGGGCTTGGCCTGCAGTTCTCAATGAGCTCTGCCATAATTGATGCTAATTGTTACTGAGCCAATGCATCCTTCCACAGAGGAGCAGGTGGGAGGCTTTATTGCTGTCAGGACTATTATACTAATAACAAGCTTAGGATTCTCTGCGTAGACTTACAAGTACAAAGGCCCAAGCTATACTTTCAGGCTCTCTTAAAGGGTTTACCAAAAAATCTCTTAGCTCTATGAAGTAAAAGCTCCTGTGAGTAAGGGGACAAGCCAAATGGGATAATACAAACTGCACTACCTGGTGTCCATTAAAGTCCTGAATAAAGCCAGGAAATGTGAGTTAGTGGGGCCTGAACTACACCTGACAAGCTCTGTGATGATGATGATATGTTGCACCCTGCTAGCTGTGCACGGAGTCAGGTTTAAACCTCTACCTCTGGGATCTGGAGAGATCCCTGGGGATTTTGCTTTGGAGCTGCCCATCTGTTTGCTTTCAAGTTTTGTAATGGCTGGAGAGTCCCAGAAAGATGTCTGGAACAGAGAGGAAATTAAAGTGAAGTAGTCCAGCTGCTGATGTGATAATATTGGATTTTAGAAAGCAAAGAGTCAGTTAATGCTAAGTCTAAAGTGCCTTTTTTTCTTTTACATTGGAAGAGAAACTTAGCCCTTTTACAGAAGGCCAGATCCTCAGCTGATGGAAACTAGTATAGCTCAAATGACTTCAGTGCAATACGAGCTGAACAGCTGGCCTACTATTCTGTAATCATGTTGGTGGATTTCTAATTAATATTGGAACATATAAAACAAGGTTGGACAACGAACTGAAAAATACACAGTAAAGAAAAAAAACACTTTGGGAGGGGGATGGATTAGATGAATTTAAAGATAGGCCTTTCCCATCTCTGATCTACAAATCCGTGAATTACAACACCATTGGAGGATTTCATTGAAAAATTAATGGATGCTGCTTCAGGATGTCACATCCCAGATCAGATGGTATGGATTACATTAGCTATTCAATGCAATTTAGTATGATTGTTTTTCAGAGCCTGACACCGAGGTGTAGTTAAATTAAGCCCCTAATTTAATCATGTGCATTTTAGCTATATGGGATCATAAGGTCTCGGAAAGTTGATATTCTGATCCATTAAAACACCAGTTATACCTTTAACAATAAAAAATGGTTCTTGCAGACATTAGGTTAAAAGCAGAAATGGGAGAACTCATTTCTGCCCATTCAAACATGATGGAGGAGACACTTTCAGATACGGGGCCAGGTTACTCAGGGGTCAGCAGCAGCAGCATCACCTGGTCCTCTGAATACCTCCTTATATAGTACAAGAAATGTGGCCAACCCCAAGAATTCAAAATCCTTGGATTTGGTCCAGGAAAAAAAATCATGAGTTTGGTTTCCAAATTGTAAGATTTTTAAAAATAATGGATTTGGTGTTATTTTTATTTGCCTTCTGGTATTCAGGGTTCATGCTTTCCTGCAACAAGGAGGGTGAGAAACTTACTTTTTTTTTTTTTTTTTTTTTTTTTTAAAGTGAAAGCTGATAGTTTCATGTAATCACAGAACTCCTAGAGCTGGAGCATTAAGAAAAACACTAACTATCACAAGAGTCATAATAAAAATCTTGAGATTGGACAGCACTCCATGCTGCTGAAAGAAACGTATAATATGGGATCAATAATAATACCACTAAAAGGGGATGTGATGGATTTGGAGTTGCCTCTGATAATTTATGAATGCTGTTTCTTGGTCACATCATTGTGTTGGTTACTGGATGCATGTACTGTGTCAATTCACTATCAGGTTTGTCAGGAATTGCGCCCAGGAAAAGCGGTGGTTCCTGATATTCATATCTTCAGGCAAATGCTTGGGGAAAAATGAAGAAACATTTACTTTGATACCCTGCTGTGGCCCCTTCCTGGGCCTGCCAGACAAGTTGTCTCCAGGAGGAGCCCCTTAGGAGGCAGGGAATGTTACAAAGGGCTTAGAGGGGCTTAAAGACAGACATCCTCTAGAGGGGTCAGATGGTTAAGTAGGAGGAACTGCACCCCAGATCTCGAGAGACTGGGTCTCTCTATGAAGATTAGTCTGTCTAGGTCTCCATTTCAAGATAGGGTGGCCACTCACATCCTCAGAACACCAGATTATGGTACTTCTGGGAATTGCGTGAGCCTGCCCTTGCCAGCGTGACGTGTGTGAGGTCACACTGGCAGAGGCGGGGGCAGCATGCTCTTCAAAATGGCATCCTCCATCCACGACTGGTCTTGTCTCAGTACCGGACAGAGGACAAACCATTTAAAAACAGGAATATCTGGCTTAAAATCAGCCAAATGGCCTGCCTGTTTCAGGATGGCCAGACATTTGGTTGGCCTTTTGTTGATTTCATCCTTTTCTCTTGTTATGTTTCGTTTCTGCTGTTAAAATTTAATAATACTTTGTTTTAAGAAGGCGGTTGTGACATTGCACTCCATATGTTTTATGGATATGCTTATGTGTGTGAATATGATGTAACTGGAATATGCTTTATGCAAAAGGTCTCTTGTAAGGTATAACAAAGGCTATAACCTACTGATTATATTCCTCCTATTTGTATACATGTATCATTCTTGTATATGAAGCTAGAAATATGAAGTATAACTCTGAGGTCCTATTGTAATTATGCAAAGTGTGGGCCATTAATGGTGGTTTAGAATCTTGATGGCTCCCACTGACTAGGACAATTGGTTATAAGTGGTTTATTTACTTGCAAACCTTCCGGTGTATGTGTGGGCCAACCCAGGAAGAATGGAGACTAGGGTCTTACTGTGACCATGTCACATGATACTGGAATCCATCTTAATCCTTATACTTTTCCATTGATGAGGCAGGGGTGGGGACAAGCACAGACAAAAGATTCCCGCCTTGTGCCAAAGCTTCAAAAGGGGGTGGGGAGCAGCAAAAAGGGGGTTGCCAGTGATGAGAGAACCCCTGAGATGTCTGCTGGAACTAACAAGGACTGTACCAGGGGAAAGGATTGGGCCCAGACTAGGAAGGAAACTAGTTTGTGAAAGAAGCTTATTGGAACATCTCTGAGGGTGAGATATTACCTGTAATCAGTTTCTTAATGTATTAGGCTTAGACTTGCATGTTTTTGCTTTATTTTGCTTGGTGACTTACTTTGTTCTGTCTGTTATTACTTGAAACCATTTAAATCCTACTTTTTATACTTAATAAAATCACTTTTGTTCATTAATAAATCCAGAGTAAGTGATTAATACCTGGGGGAGCAAATAGCTGTGCATATCTCTCTCTCTCAGTGTTATAGAAGGCGAACAATTTATGAGTTTACCCTGTATAATCTTTATACAGGATAAAACAGATTTATTTGGGGTTTGGATCCCATTAGGAACGGGGTGTCTGGGTGCTGGAGACAGGTAACCTGCTGAGCTGTTTTCAATTAAGTCTGCAGCTTTGGGGGCATGGATCAGACCCTGGGTCTGTGTTGCAGCAGGCTAGCATGTCTGGATCAACGAGACAGGGTTCTGGAAGTCCCAAGCTGGCAGGGAAAACGGACTCAGAGGTAATTTCAGCTCATTAGGTGACAGTCCCAAGGGGATCTCTGTGACCAAACCTGTCACAGCGGTTTTGGGTCACTATGTTCACAGCTGGTCATAGCTTCCAGAGGGAAGAATTGTAGGTGCTGAGGTGCAATAGCAGTTGGCACCGGAGGGTTCTAGTATAGTACCCTGGTCCGAGAGTGGGAGAATCATAGGATTTTACCTAATGAAGTAAAAGCACAAGCCTGAGACATTGAGGGGGTGCTCTCAGACACATACAGAGAAGGGATCAGAAGTACAGCTACTGCTGAAATACGACAGGGAGATAGAGGGTAAATAGAATCCCAGAGTGATAAACTGGGTAAACTCTAAATAACTATGAACTCATCTGCTGTAAAATTATCACGAGATTGTTCTACTGTCTTTTATTCATTTGCTAAGCCATTCCTGCAAAAATATAACTTGTACACAATGAGAGGCAGAAGTTGCCTTCCCAAATTAGTGCCAGTTAAAACAGTTTTCTTACAGAGCTAATGAACGATAAAGGTTTAGCAGAAAAACTTAAATCCCAGCTCTCCACTCGCACATCAGATAGCAAACTGCAGTAAAATTCAATTCCTCTGAAGACCTTCTGGGCTGCCAAGAGGCAGGTTGTATTTTCAAAGAAAATCATATCCTTACATCTTTATCAAAACCAACTTCCATACTTGCTAGAGGAACAGAGCTGTGAAAATAATGAATTTTCCATTAACCAAATTGTAGAGTCGATAATAACTGAGCCTGACCCTCAAAGAAATTAATGAAAAGTTTGCAGGTTGAGGAGTCTGAACAGTGCATAATATAAGAGGAGTAGCAACTTAACATAAAGAGGAACATTTTTAAAATGTTCCATAGTGATTTAGCCACATGATTCCTATTAACTATTTCACAGCCCATTTTACACTCCACCTGTTGTATCAAGGCAGGATAGTATTTTCAGTCATAATGCTCCACCTATTAATTATTATTATTATCATTATTTATTATGTGTATTATAATAGCACCTAGGAGTTTCAGACAGGACCCCAGCCTGGTAGGTGCTGTACAAGCATAGAACAAAAAAGATAGTCCGTGCTCCAAAGAAGTTAAAATCTAAGGGCTTGTCTTCACTACCGCGGAGATCGACGCCGCTGCAATCAATGCAGCAGGTGTCAATTTAATGGATCTAGTGAAATTGCTAAATTGACAGCAGAGCACTCTCTGGTTGACTCTGGTTCTCCACCGGAATGAGAAGAGTAAGGTAAGTTGACGGGAGACACTCTCCTGTTGACGCAGCACAGTGAAGACACTGTGGTAAGTCAACCTAAGCTACATCGACTCCAGTTACATTACTCATGTAGTTGGAGTAGTGTAACTTAAGTCAATTTACCTTGGTAGTGAAGAGAAAGCCTAACTAACGTAGTCATTTACACTTGTGCAAAAGAAGTACAAAATAGTTACAAACATTATACCATTCAAAATTTGGTAGCAATTTGCATCCATATTCCATAGGTGTGAATGACTATGCAAAAGGCAAACAATAGAAAATCAGACAACTGATGTTCTGTTGGTAATTTTCTATTTACTTCTCTCTCAACTGCCTATTTTGGCTCTGTTATCCTGTCTTTGCATTTCTAAGGCTCTGCTCACTGAGTCATAGAAACACTAGATAATCTGTTAGATCTTCTAGTCCATTTCTCTGCTAACTCGGAATTGTTGCACACAATATGTTCTCCACTGCTTTGTTCAACTTTTTTCTATCAACTCCTTTGTCTGCTGCTTTAAATCAGTTCATATATATTAAGAACCTGTTCAAACTTTCCATTTCTCAATACAAACTTGAAATTGTGACTGAACAATTCTATAGAGCTTGTTGGGATCTGATATTTTTCCTCCCATGAAAAATGTTAATGAAAATAAATTTCTACATTTTTTCCAAGTTTTTGATGAAAAAACAAAAACTAAATTCTTTTTGGTTTCCTGCAACTGAAAAATGGTGGCCAGCTGGGCAAACCTTGGGGAGTTTACTAAAAATTTTCACTAGGTTGCCTGAAATATTTTGGTTTTCAGTTGTTGAGGACCAGTGGTGCAAGTAATCTAATATGGTCAGGTATGCCATACCATTAAGACATTTATTGCCGGTATGCCATACTGGAAAGACACATTTGGTAACCACTGAACACTGAAGGGCTTTCCCGGGAACCGCAGCAGCAAAAGGAGCAGAACATGCCCACTGGGCAGCCCCACACGGGCAACTCCTCCTGCGTGGCTGTATTGCCCCCAGCCCTGTCCTTCACCAGGGCTGTACAGACCCCAGACAGGAGACACAACTGCAGGGAAGGGCTGGAGGTGGGGCTGGCGGTGGTGCAGCTGCAACGAAGGAGCTGCCAGCGTGGGACTGCCAGGCGTCCCCATGTTCTGCTCCTTTCACTGCTGCAGTTCCTGGGAGAGCCCTGTGTTTCAGCAGATACTGATTTCTATCCGCGGTTATCCATATCCGCAGGTGTAAATTTGTATCTGCAAAAGGAGACCAGTGGGAGGGGCACAAAGGCTCAAGTGCCACCCCCACCCCCCAGGCTCAAGTGCCCCCCATCGGCCCAGGCAGGGAGAGAAAAGGGAGGGGCCAGAGCCTCTCCTCTTCCAGCCACACTGTCTGGAACGTTGCCTAATGCAGCGCTATGGCTGCTTGGGAATGCCAGGCACTCTCTCAGGCAGCTGCTCTGCTGCACTGGGCAGCATCCAGGAGTGGCTCCGGGGCCTGGCTGCCAGGAAGAGCAGTGGAATGCCAGGCGGAGATGGTATAGCAGGAGGACAGAACTCCCCCCCATCCCCGGTAACGTGGGATGGGGAAGGGATGGGGAGAGTGTGGGGGCCCTGGGCTGGGGGTGTGATGGGGAGGAGTCACGTGGGAGGTCACGTGGAGAGGTCATGTGCCCCCCCTTTAGGTGGTGCC